TTTTGTCGATGATTTGCAAACGAGTTTACTACAACTTCAAAACCCAGTTTTTTTAAATTCGGGTTGATTCGGTTTTACGAGTTTATTAAATTCGCAAAACCGAATTATTCGAGTTTATTTAAATTCGGGTTAAACCCGGTTTTAATTCGGGTTAAGAAATTGCATAAATAAAATCGGTTCCAACCTCTAATGGATGCCACTTGATTAGATTTTTAAGAACTGAACGATACTAAACTTAAAATATTCGATACCTGGTTCTTCTTGGCGAATATAATTTGATGAATTTTTTATATTCTTTTTATAGCCGTAGATTAAGGCTTAACAATAGATCAATATTAAGGTCACAAATATTAAATTTACTTTAATAATGCATACTGTGGATTATAAAAAACTGTTGCGTTTCATATTATTGCATTTCTGTGTTAGTAATAATAGTGCTTAACAACCATGAAATTAGGCCTCATTTTGAATCACGAAAAAATGGTTACTAATAATAGCTTGGCATTTGATCTTTAACTTATAGGTTTGTTCTTTAGTTGGGGTTTTGATTTTCACTAAGTTTTTCCAGGTTTCACCTTCGTCATTTCTAATTTTAGACTGTCTTTCGACAAGGAGATTGGATTTTGTCAAAGTTTTCCTTTCACTTTTAGCCGGTTTAGTCTCGTCTTCAGTCATGCAAAAAGATTAATAATTAGACTATACCGATATAAATTTAATAACACAGGTAGAACAATAAACCTTTTTACAGGTACAGTATTCTTTCAAAAATCTTTAGTGTGATATGCAACTTTTACAAATATTTTCTATAGGATTATCAACCATTAGACTGTTTAACGTAAAATCAAAGAAAATAGACATTTTAAAAAAACGGTTGTAACTCTTATGAAACTACTTTTGATATTCTAACAAAAAAAATTCCTTGCGAAATTTTGAGGTAAAGGTGGTATTCGCTACTTCTCTAGCTTCACTTTAATACTAATCCTTGTTCTAAATTATTATGTTTCAGTTTGTTCAGATCTCATATTATACATGATCTTATAGGATACGTTATAAAATTCTGTTGAGAATACCATTAATAAAGTTGCACATTACTAAAGTTTTGTATATAAAAATTTTTTAGAAAACTGCTAGAAAGGGTAATATTTAACGAAGGTTTTCTATCATAATAGATTTGGAAAATTTTTATAGTTTTACCTGTTTAAATTGTTTCACATAATCCGGGAGGGTCAAATTTTGTAATACCTTTGAAAGTTTTTTTAACTATATTTATTACACGAGTAGGTTTTTTTTATTTAGAAATTTATAAAAAACATTGCTTTCATACGTAATTTTTTGAAATAGAATTAAATCTGAGTTGCTGGTCGCTTTTTAATATCCCATTTTATTAAATTTAATTATAATTTTAAGGATTTTATATTGTCGAGAAGGGTGCTGGTCAAAATCCCGACAAACAGAATCCCGACAGGTCATAATCCCGACAAAAAAATCCCGACAGTAAAAATC